AATCCCAGCAGTGCACAGGAATCCGCAACAGCGCATGCAGTAATATCTCCCTGCTGCTCCTCTTGCCGTTGCTGCTCTCCCTTGCGTTCTTGCTGTTGCTGTTGGTGTTGCTGCTGTTGCTGAAGCTGCCCTAAAGCGGACGGCAGCCTTACGGGGTGGCACTCATACATCTGCTGCTGCTGCTGTCGCTGCTGCAGGCGCTGCAGGGAAAGACCATGGGTTGAGTTGTGCTGCAGCGTTAGAGACTCGCTGCTGCTGTTGCTGCTGCTGCCTTTGCCGCTGCTGTTGCTGCTGCGGAATCTTCTAGCTAACGAATATACAAGAGACGCAGCGGCAGCAGCAGCAGCATCGTGCTGCGGCGTGGCGTCGAGTGAGGCGAGGTATTGGTGCTGCTGCTGTAGCAGGTTGGGCCGAGGCAGTCGTTGCTTCTGCTGCTGCGGTTGCGGGTGCTGTTGCTCCTGCTGCTGCTGCTGCTGTGGCGAGGACACGGTGCTGCTGACTGCTTGTGAGCCACCTCCCTCACAGGGGTTTATCTGTTGCTCCCCTGCAGCACCAACCGTCAAGCAGCCTTCCACTGCTGCTGCTGCTGCCGCTAGCTGTTGTTGCTGCTGTTTCTGTTGATACTGCTCCTCGTTGTGCTGTTGATGCGCCTCCTGCTGCTGTTCTTGCTGCGCTTGTTGTTGCTGTTGCTGCTGTTGCTGGTCCTGCTGCTGTTGCTGGTCCTGCTGCTGTTGCTGCTCCTGCTGCTGTTGCTGCCCCTGATCTTGCTGCCGCAGATGCTCCTGCTGTCCTTGTTGCTTTTGCTGCTGCTGTTCCTGTTGCTGCTGTTGTTGATGCTGCAGCTGTTGTTGCTGCTGCTCCTGCTGCTGCTGCCCTTGCTGCTCTCGGTCCTCTGAACTAGCTGTTGTTGCTGTTGCTGATGCAGCAGAAGACGACAATTGCTGCTCCAGCATCGCCTCACCTGTCAAGCCAACGTAGTTCCTCTTGGTGTTACAGCTGCCGCTGACCTCGTTGCTGCTAGTGTTGCTGGTAGCGCTCTGGTTGCTGCTGTTGCGGCTGTGGCTCGTGCTGCCAGTGTTGCTGCTGCTGCTGTGTAGCTGCTGCTTTCCCCTTGAGAGCTGCTGCTCTCCCCTTGAGAGCTGGCCTTCTTAACGGCCAAAGGCGAACGCCTCAGCATCAGCAGCTGTGGCTGCTTCTGGCAGCAGCGGCAGCGGCAGCTGTGGCTGCTGCCGCAGCAGACACACCGCCACAGGGGCCCCCTGCAGCAGCATGTCGAGCTGTATCTCTCTCGCTCCCACGCTCGTGAACGAGAGCGATTTTCAGATTAGGGTTTAGGGTTTAGTGTCTAGCGTTTAGGGTTTAGGGTTTGCTGCCCGCAGTTTTTGTAGGAAAACTGTTCGGTGTATTTGTTTGAGTTTCGTGTAGTAATAAATACGAACTCCATGTTGTTTAATTTATATTTATTTCCTTTTATTCACGTATACTCCTGCAGCAGCAGCAGCAGCAGCAGCTGCTGCTGCTGCTGCTGCTCGCTCTCTGCCTGCTGCAGCTGCGGATCGTTAGATGCCTCTCCTTTCTTTCTTGTCTGTTGTTTTCTTAAATACTTTATTTATTTTATTTTGTTTCGTTTAGTGTTTAGGGTTTAGACGGCACCGCTGTTGGCTACGGCCCCGACAACCACCCTCTACTTCCGGCACTCGCTCCATCATCGCATCATCGCGAATATATATATATATATATATATATATATATATATATATATATATATATATATATATATATATATATNGACATACATATATAGCATACATGTGCTGGTATATATGATTATGGACATTATACATATATATATATATATAATATATATATATATATATATATATATTGTATACATATATATATATATGTTATATATGCATATATAATATCCACAATGGAAGTGTACAAATGCGCATACCCAGCTATATACAGCGAAATCTGTAGGTACACTGCAAGGTGTTTGCTGCCAGCAAAAACAAACAAACCAGGGAGAAATATTTACACGTATACAGAAAGTTTGGGTCAAGAGACCTCAGTAACAATGTCCATGCATGCAGCATGCATGCATGCATGGACATTGTTACTGACGTCTCTTCTTTTGTCTTGCTGCCCTCCCTGTTGCAGCGGAGACCCAGCGATGCACGACTTGCTGTAGCTACCCCGGGCTGGTTGTAGCTAGCTGTAGCGAGCTGTAGTTAGCTGTAGCTAGCTGTAGCTAGATGCGGCCAGCTGTGGTGAACTGCTGTTAGCTGTAGCTAGCTGAAGGTGGTGCTAGCTAGCTGTCGCTAGTTGTGGCTAGCGCCAGAAGAAGACGGAAGAGGAAAGGAGACGGAGCCAAGATGCAGACAAAGAAAAAGACGACACAAATAAGGAAAAGAAAGAAACAAGGAGACAAAAACAGACAAAAAGAAGGCGAAGGCAGAAGAGTCAAGAAGCCGTCTCCCTGTACTCCAAGCGCTCGCGGTAAACCCTAATTCCTAAACCCAAAACTACTGAAACCCTAACCCTAAACCCTGAGCACTTGACCCTAACCCCTAAACCCTCAATATATTGAACTCAGCTGCAACAAACCCAAAACCTTTGCCTGAGAGAAATGAAATGTTTCTGTCTCCCTCATATCGCTGCAGCAAAACTAAAAACTCCTGGCAGGCCAACTGTCTCCTTTGAGACAGCACTCTGTCGAGACCGTGCAACAGCAGCAGCAACAGCAGCAGCAGCAGCCGTTGCTATTGGTGCTGCAGTTAGCATCCCCCTCTGCCTTCTTCTCTCTTCCAGCCAGCAAGTGTCTCCTTCTGTCGCTGTGTTGTGTTCGTCTGGGGCCGTAATATAGATGGGCCCCCCCAGCAAACAAATTAGAATAGGGGGCCCCCCCAGAAAACAATTAAGAATATGGTGAACCCCCCCGCAAATAGAGAATTCAGGATAGGGGGCCCCGAAGCAAATACAGAATTCAGGATGGGGGGCCCACCAGTAAACAATTAAGGATGGGGGGCATCCAAACAAATATGAGCTGCAAGGTAGGAGAGCAAGGGTAGGCCCCTATGCCTCAGGAGTTGCCTTCATCGCCTTGGTATTAACTGTCTCCTTGGTTGCATCAAGTGTCCCCTCCCTCGCCTCATCTGTCTCCGTGGATATCTCCTGCGTCTCCTTGTACGCCGCGTCTGTCTCCAAATGCGTCTCCTGTGTCTCCTTGTGTGCCTCCTTGCGTGTCTCCTTTGTCTCGTTGTATGCCTTTTGTGTCTCTTCGCATGTCTTTTGCGTCTCCTTGTACGCCTCGTGTGTCTCCTGCGTGTCGATGCGTGTCTCTTGTGTCGCCTGGCATGCCTCCTTGTATGTATCCTTGCATGTCTCCTCTGTCTCCTTGTGCGTCTCCTGTGTGTCCATCCAAGCGTCTGGTGTCACCTGCGTCTCCTTGTATGGCGCGTGTGTCTTCATATGCGCCTGCTGGCACGTTTCTGCTGTCTCCTTGTATCCCTTATGTGTTTCCCGTGTCGCTTTGGGTATCTTATATGTGTGTGTATCTTGTGTGCTTGGACGTGAGGTGGGGGTTGGGATCGTGGCTGGGATCGTCTCCCGATCCCCGCTAGGCCTCTGGGGATCGACGACTCCCACAATGGCATTGAAGGCCCCTAACCCTCCTTGCTCACAGTGCATAGGAAACGTGCTGCCAGGGAAGACAGAATAATAGATAAAGCTACTCCCGATCCCGCTCCCCAACACCTGTCTCTGCCCCTCACTAAACCCCACAAATGGGATCCGATCGCCACCCGGTACAGACATATCCAAATGTTGCAGCAACGGCTCCCGCCCACAGGTAGAAGCAAAATTTGTTATTATATAAGGAATGTAGCCCTCATACATTGCCTATACAAAGAAGACAAATAAACACAATAACAAATAACAATAATAGGTGCAATTTATCTCTAAGATATATATATATATATATATATATATATATATATATATATATATATATATATATATATATATATATATAAACAAACTAATACAGTTATTATATGAGGAATGTTACCCTCATACACTGCCCATACAAACGCAGAAAAGTAAAGAGAATAGTACCGCCAATGACAGACAAACAAGCAACAAACAACAGACAACAAAGGACAAACCACAACGAACAAACAGCAAACGACAACAAACAGCAGACAACAACAAACAACAACAACAAACAACGCACAACGCACAACACACAGCAACAACAATAACAACAAACACACAAGAAAAAACAAAACCAACAACAACAAAAAGCAACAAACAAACAACAAAAGCAAACCAACACCACCAAACAACAACAAACAGAAACATAAGCAACCAACAAAAAGACAAATCACCTGTATAGCTAATTCAGGTGTAAATGTCTTTCCATCCAGTTCTCGTCCCCAATTATGAGTTTTCTTTGTTTTCCATGGCCATAAACAGTTCAATATAAACCGAAATCGATTTATTAGATCCGCTGTATAGACATCATCGGGGCTGCTAATGCATGCGCTATGTACAGCACATTCTCTACGCAATACACCACAGCAGGGCCCCTCATTGGGGCCCCCCAAAACCCTCTTCTTCCCTCCTGCCTTTCCTATACAGCTGCCGGCGGCAGAACCACCAGCGGTAGCAGCAGATACACGCTGCTTCAGCTCCTGCTTCACCTCCAGCATCTTCCGTGCTTTGATCTTTCCTGCAGCAACAGAGCCAGACCTCTCACCAGGAACTACTGCTGCTGCAGGTGCTGCAGCAGCGGCAGCAGCAGCACCAGCAGCTCCAGAACATTGTTCCGCCTTCTGTGTCTGCCATGGGAGAGACAGATTCGCTGGCTGTTCTATCTGCTGCTGCCTATACACCCCACGAGCACCCAAAGTGCAGGGACCCTCCTTGGCGCTCGCTGTCTGTGATGCCGGCTGCCGCTGCTGCTGCTCGTGCTGCGGCTGCTGCTGCAGTTGTTCTTCAGTGGGTTGCAGGAGTGGTGCATGCAACTGCTGTGGAACCCCATTTGCGCTGCACCGTTTCACTGGGAGGGCTAGAGGGGACATAACGGCTGCAGCAGCAACGGCTGCTGCTGCTGCTGTTTCTGGACCTGTTGCAGCTGCAGCCGCCGCTTCGGTTGGGGGTGCACCATCAGCAGTAGCAGCAGTAGCAGCAGCAGAAGAAATGGGGCAGTCGACGCTGGGGATCTCAGCTGGACAGGAGGGCTTGGAGGCCTCTGACGGGTGTCCCTCTACTGTCTCCTCTCCTGCTGCTGCTGCACCTGAAGCAGGCGAAGGATCAGGAGCAGCAGCAGCAGCAATTTGCGCTGCTTTCTCCTCTGCCGTGAGCCTCTCCCCCTGCTTTTCTGTAGGGCCCCCTACAGAAAAGCAGGGGGAGAGGCTCACGGCAGTCTCCTGCGGCGTTGCAGCTGCTGCAGTTGCTGCAGTTGCTGAAGATGTTGCTCCGTTTAGGATGGGACCATCTGCAGCAGCGGCAGCAGCAGCAGTAGCAGCACCAGCAGCAGCAACGGCAACAGCTCCTACTTTCTCCCGACCGTTGGTGAGTTCTGCTGTTGCTGCTGGTGCAGTTGATGCCGTTGCTGCTGGTGCAGTTGCTGCTGCCTCTGCTGTTGCTGCAGTTGCTGCTGCTGCTGAACACATTTGGGGGGCGTCCCCTGCAGCAGGGGAATCCCTGGCGCCCTGCAGCAGCAGCACCAACTTCCTCTGGTCTGTCTCTCCCTTCACCTCCCCTGTACCTCCATTTGTCTCCACGTCCGCTGAAGAGGTGCAGCTGCGCCTCTTAGAAGCAGCAGCAGCAGCAGCAGCAGCAGCAGCAGCAGTAGGTGTTTCTCCCCTTCCGTTTCCAGCCTCAACGGCGCCCCTTGGAGGCCTCTCCATAGGCAGCAGCAAATCCTCAGGAGGAGCTGCAACACAAGAAGCCACTGCAGCACCTCCTGCTGCTGCTTGAGCAGGAGTTGCTGCTGTTGCAGCAACTCCTGATCCTGCCTCAAAAGGACCTGCTGGTGGTGCAGCAGCACCTACTTCTGCTACTTTATTAGGAGCAGCAGAAGTAGGTGCTGCAGCAGCAGCACCTACTTCTGCTGCTTTAATAGGAGCTAATGCTGCTGCAGCACCTGCCGCTGCTGCTGCACCAGGATCTGCTGCTGCGTCAGGTGGAACTGCTGCCGCTGCAGCGTCAGCAGGAACTGCTGTTACTGCTACTGCTGTGTCTGCAAGAGCTGCTGCTGTTGCAGCCGTTGCATCGGCAGCAGCAACGGCAGGCTCAACCTGGGCAAGGGGCTTTTCCCCCTCATCTGCAGCTGCTGAGGCCCCCCGTGCTGCTGCTGCTGCAGCCACTGCTGCTTCAGCATCAGCGGCAACATCTGCAGCAACTGCAGCAGCACCAGCTGGTTCCTTCTGCAAAAGATCATCCGATGGCTGTTGTTGTTGTTGGCGTTGTTCAAGGAGAGAGATGGTTTCTTCTGTCTCTCTCTTCATCTTCTCCTGCTTCGCCTGCTCTCTCCTCTTGTAACGGGCCTCTCGTGTCTCTTGGGGCTGGATACATTCAACCCTTTGTCTCTTCATCTCCAACTGTCTCCTTTCAGGTGACGCATCAATGGACCGCAACCGCAACCGCTTTACCACCCATGGGGGCGCACGCACCGTCAGTATACACCTGGGAGGCCCCTTCGCGGGCCCCCCTGGAGAACACCCTGCGGGCCCCCCTGAAGGGCCCCCTAGGGCCCCTCCCCCAGGAAATGTGTGGTGACGGGTCTCCGTTTTTTCGCCTGTCTCCGATTTTTGTTTTATAGCGGAGGGTGGATTAGCTTTTCGCCTTCTTAGTTGATATCCGTTGTGACAGAATATCTCCTCCAGCTTAAGTGTCTCCTTAAAGCAGTTAAACGCCTCCTGTTGCTGTTGCCGTTGCTGCTGCCGCTGCAGCAGCCTTTGTTGCTTCTCACGGCGCCACCGGAGAATCCTTTGCAGTCTCTGTAGCTTTTGTTGCGTCTCCCGCAGCTGCTGCTGCAGCAGAGCATCCTGACTTGGTGTCTCCGCTTGTTTCCCCTTCGGCGGCTGCAATAGGGGACCCAGGGCTCCCCTGGGTACAGGGGAGTGCTGGGGTGCCGCAAAGCTGCAGCACGGGTTGTGCATGCAGGCAACCGGGGCCCCAAACCGCCTCTTGAGGGCCCCCTGTCTCCGCACACGAGGGCCGTTTCGCGCCCAAAGCCGACGCAGCTGCAGGCGCTGCAATCTCTTTCGAGCAGCAGCAGCTGCTGCAGCAGCTGCTGTTGCAGCAGAATCTGCAGCAGCAGGTGGTGCTTCTGCAGCGGGTAGGGGTCCTGCAGCGTGCACGGTTGCAGCAGAACCATCACCACTAGCAGCAACATTCACTGCAGCGACCCCGGCAGCATATGCAGCAGCAGCAGCAGATGGTTCTGGTTCTTCTTTGGGGGCCCCTATATCAAGCTGGGCGCTTCCGTCCTCTGCAGGGGGCCCCCCTTGAGATGAAGGATGGGGGCCCCCTTTAGCATTTGTCTCGTCCTGCGCCTCAGCGGCATCTCGTGCTGCAGTTGCTTCGGCTGAAAACGATAAGTCCTGGGGGCCCCCTGAGACCTTCTTTCTGGATCCAGGGGCCCCTTCGCATACACTAGGGGACAAAGGGGCCCCTACGTCCCCAGGGGCCCCCTGCCCACGCCTGACCCTACAACATACCTCTGGGCGGCTCCCCGTCTGTGTCGTGCCGACGATGGTTGATGAAGGGGGACCCGTGGTGCCACACAGCAAGTGAGAGGGGCCCCTGACAACAGGAGAAACATGGTCACCCCCAGCCTTCCTTCCTGTCTCCTCTGTGCTGTCTCCGGGCGCCCCCCGAGCCCGCCTGCTGCAACTGGCGCTTCCCAGCTCTGCTTCTCGTCTTCCTCTTGCTGCTGCCGTTGCTGGTTCTAGCACACCCGCTGCTCCTGGTGCTTCTGCTGCTGAAGGTGCTGCTTCTTGTTTTTCTCCTCGGTTTTGCTGACTTGTCTTCTCTCTCCTGATGCAGCTCCCTCTTCGTGGAGTCCCCCGTGCTTCGATCCTGGGTATCGGTGCCCCCCCTTTCACCTGCTGCTGCTCCATCTGTTGCTGCTGCTGCTGCTGTTGTTGCTTCTGCTGTTTCTGTATCCCCTCTGCTGTAACGCGGCCTGCAGCTAATTCTGCTACAGTGCGAATGATTTGCTCTAAGTCTGTTTGCTTCGGTAGCGGCATGTGAAACGCCTCCACAAAAAAACCCAGTAGTAACACACGACCATCACCACCAACCCCACCATCAACACCATCAACACCAACCCCATTATCAGCACGAATCCCACTCTTAACACAATTAACACAATTCAGCCCATTAACACCAACCCCGCTAGCGCCACCAACCCCACCAACCGTACTAGCACTACCTTCTCCACCACCACCACCACCTTCATCACCAACCCCACCAACGCCACCACCCCCACCGACACCATCAACTACAGGGGCTCCGGAGGCTACCGGCAACACCAAGTCCAGGCTGCCGCGAGTGGCCCCCAGGCCCTCCTCTGTGCTCTTTCCACCGTGAGGGGCCTCACGGGGCCCCCAGTCCTTGGGGTACCCACCATTGGAGGCCCCTTTATTTGCTGCTTGCTGTGCGTCCCCCAGGGATCGGGATCGGGGTGGGAGACGAACGAAGATAGGCCACATACGCTGAAACTCAGCAACAGCTACAGGCTCATCTTGCTGCTGAGCCTGACGCGCCTTTCGTAACCACAACGAAGGCACATTGGGGGTCCCCTTACCGTTGCTAGAGACTCCTTTGGGGGCCCCCTTAGATATACTAGGGGCTTCCTTGGCGTCCCCCGTATATCGAGTAGGGACCTCCTTGGGGGCCCCCCTTGGTTTGCTCGTAGCGCCCTTGGGGGCCCCCTCAAGGGTACTAGAGGCCTCCCGCGGGGCCCCCAAACGGGGGCGGCAGGGGCCCCCTTCCAGCAAAGGCTGACTTGCCGTCTCTGCTGCTGCAGCTCTGGTATCTTTTCTGATCCCTGTGGGGGGCCCCCCCAAGTGGGCATCGGGAAGGGGGTCACCCCCCAGAGAGTTGGGGTTTCTGCTGTGTCGGAGCCTCTGCGTTAGCTGATGCTCCTGCTGCTGTTGCTGCAGCAGCAGCAGCTGCTGCTGCTGCTGCTGGTGTGGCAGAGCATTCTTGTGTTCCCCTGCATGCATAAGCGCTGCCGCTGTTGCTGCCCCTGTGGCGTTTCTTGTAGGGCCCAGTGGGGGGCCCCTTGGGATCGCCTGTACGGGCCCCGCAGGAGCCCCCAGCCCCCCACCCCCTCCAGGGGCCCCCAGTTTCTTGTGTGTTCTTTGGGGGGAGATAATAGCGAGATGCTGCTCAACGCAATCATACCAAGGCCTATCTAAGCTGCAGCAAACCGAAGATGTTCTCAGTTTCCTTGGGTTGGCTGCACGCACAACGCGGAGACACTGCGTATCAGGGCCCGGGGCATCTGAGCTGCTGCTGCTGCTGTTACTGCCGCAGCGCCGGCGGCTGCGACGAAGGCCCCTACCTCCATAAGGAAACGGGGCCCCCAAGGGATCTTCCAGCAAGGCGGCTCTACTTGAGACCCAACTTGGGGGCCCTACCCGACGCCTGAGCCCAGGCAGCAGCGCCCCTGGGGGCCCCCCCGGAGTAGCAGCATCAGCAGCAGCATCAGCAGCAGTGGCTGCAGCAGCAGCAGCGGCTGCAGCAGCAGCAGAAACAGCGGACTTCCTCCGTTTCAAAGGCGCCGCACCAGCAGAAGCAGCAGCAGAAGCAGCAGCACCGTCTGCCTCCTCCTTCTTGCATGCCGTATTCACCGCTGCTCCAGCAGCTACTGAAGCCAGATGGCCCTGACATTCGTCTCCTCTAGGGGACCCCCGGAGGTCCCCAGGACTATCCCCAGCGCCTTGGAGGCCCCCAGAGCCCCTGTCGCCTGTAACGACGACAGGCTCAGAGACACCTGAGGAGACAGTTGGACCCGCATCCGACTGCGGGGCCCTTAGGGCCCCCACTTCCTCTCCAGCAGCAGCAGCAGAGTGTGCAGCAGCTTCTGTATGCTGCTGCTGCTGTTGTTGCTGCTTCTGCTGTTGTTGCTGCTTCTGCTGTTCTTGCTGCTGCTGCTGCTGTTGCTGCTGCTGCTGCTCTTGCGTGACTTCGTTTTGCAGTTGCTGCAGCATCTGCTGCATGCGTTGGATTTTGATTTGTGTTTGTTTCCTTTTCTCCTTCTGGAGTTCATCGCAGCAGCAGCGTGTTCTTTGCTGCAGCAGTTGCTGCAGCGACTGCGGTTTGCTGCTGCTGCTGCTGCTGCGCTGTCCCCACTGCAGCAAAGACCATTGGTCATCACAGAGGTCCACCCCTGCAGCAGCAAACACCTCATGCCAATCAAACGGCCGCCCCCACCCCAAATGGGCGAAGCTTTTGCTGCTGCTGCTTGCTGCACCTGCTGCTCCTGCTTCTTTGCTCTCGTGAGGTAGGGACCCACGCGGCAGGGGGCCACTTCTTCTTCCTGCTGCTGCTGCTGCTGCTGTTGCTGCAGTCTGCCGCCCGTATCGAACCACCGTGGGGCGCCCCGAAGAGACAGCAGCAACTGACGCCGTATCCTGTACAAAAAAAAACATTTACAGCAGCAGCATCAGCAGCAGCGGCAGCACCAGCAACAGCAGAAGCAGCAACAGCAACAGCAGCGAGGATGCAGCGAACATGAAGCACAGGAAATAGAGAGACTCAGCTCCTACTACATCCATATAGACAGCAAACTGACTAGAAAAAAGGAGACACCTCAGGGACCCCAAGGCGTTGCTGCTTAGCCTGTCTAAATGCCAGCAGCAGCGGCAGCAGTAGCAACAGCAGCAGTAGCGACAGCAGCAACAGTAGCGGCAACTGTATCGACACCACCACCAGAGCCACCAGCAGCAGCAGCATCATCATCAGCAGCAGCAACAGCAGAACTAGCCGCAGCCGCAGCAGCAGCAACGAGAGACAGGTGGAGAGAGCCCTCACAGTTGGTGATCTTCTCTTTCGTGTGGAGTCACATCGGAGTGTATAACCTCCCCCGTGCACCCCCGATTCATCTTTCTCACTTTCAGCGCCCCCCTCCTTCACTGTCTCTTTTCTTGCGTCTGCTGTCACCTCTTCTGCTGCAGCATCCAGGGGCCCCAGGGGCCCATCTACACCAGCAGCCCCTTGGGCGGGGGCCCCTGAAGGCAGAACATCTTGGGTCCTTCCCCCCTCGGGGGCCCCCTCCCTTGACGCCTTGTTACTAATGCCCTCTTTGGCGGCCCCTAGATTGAGCGACTCCCGCCTCTTGGGCCTCGCTGAAAGAGACAAAGAGTCGGAGGGAGAGAGAAGGGGACATAAGGAGACAGAAGGAGACAACAGGAGACAGGTGACAGGGTAAGATTTCAGGAGGAAGGAGACAAGAGGAGACAGAAAGCGAAGGGAGAGGGCGGGGGGAAACAGAAGACAGAAGACAGGCGAAGAGATATGGAGACAGTGGGAGACAAAAGGAGACAGTAAGAGACACAGGGAGACTGAAGAAGGCAGATGGAAACAGCAGGAAACAGGCGGAGACACAAGGAGCCATAAGCAGCGAGAGGGGACCGCAGGAGAGACGCGGAGACAGGACACAGGGGAAGATAAAGAGATATACATGAAAATCCGAGCCAGTACAACAGCCACCCACTATCGCAGCAGCAGCAACAGCAGCATCAGCAGCAGAAACAGCAATAGCAGCAGCAACAGCAGCAGCAGTGCATACTCGAGCTTGTGCGACGCGAGGGGCCCCCACTGCCCCACCCTTCACTGTTGATATCATCGCAACCAATATCCGCGGCCATGAGGGCACCGGTGCAGTGATAACCCCAGCAAACGGGGGGCTTCACACGTAAACCCTTCTGTCTCCTCTCCTGCACACCCCACAAACCCTAAACCCTAAACCCTAAACCCTTAACCTTAAGCCCTACGCCACACTCTAGAGATCCCACAAGCCGCCCTACACCCTAGTGATTGGACCTTCAGGTATTCATACAGGAGGGGGTTGTGTATTAGGGTCTAGGGTTTAGGGTTTAGGGTTTCCATGTATATATATACGTGAATAAGTCTTCTAAGGGTTTGTTTAAGGAGTTGGCTTTGCGCCCCACAAAGAAGAGAATCAATACAAAGGGGACAGAGACGAGAGAAGCAGGGCCCAGCACAATTGCTGCTTTCTGCCTTTGTAAAAGGAGACATATTTACACCCCAGTGAAGCTGGGCCGAACGCTGCACCACCATGTCCCCCATACACTGCGCTGCAGCCATCAACTGAGCATACACCCCACATATACAAACAGAAGGAGAGACATACGCACCCTATATATATATATATATATATATATATATATATATATATATATATATATATATATATATATATATATATATATATATATATATGCGCGGATACCGACACACCATAGATACGCATATAACGAGAGACTTATACACTCCAAATAAAGAGGTAAGGCGAGACACACACGCACCATATATACAGATATAAGGAGACACACACCACACGAGGCACTTATACACCCCAAGTAAAGAGGTAGTGAAACGCTTATACACCCTATTCAGAGGGATACGGAGACGCATATACACCCCAAATATACTACACGTAAAAGAAGACATAGAGACAACGGCAATACATATAAACACACATATACGCCCCATAGAGAGATAGGGAGACACACAGACACAGGGACGCAAAGACACAGAGACGAAGAGACAGCGAGACAAAGACAAGGAGACAACGAGACGGGGAGGCACAGAGACAAGGAGACACAGAGACAAGGGGACGCAGAGATAAGGAGACACTGATACACTTGAAAAGCAAGAGGAGGAAGCACACAGACAGAGAAACAAGGAGATGCAGAGACAGACGGAGAAAGAAACAGAGACAGAGACAACGAGAAATAGAGAGAGAAATAAGGAGAAACAGATTACAGACGAATAAGGAGACACAAAGACGCGGAAAAGGAGACACAAACACAGAGGGACAAAGACACAACACCAGGGTCACTTAATAACCCTCAAGGCCCCACGGGTGCCCCTTGGGGGCCTGCCCTGTCTTTGTATCTATACACCCTCGGGGTGTGTTCAGAAGCCCTTTGGTGCTCATTGTTTAGTCTTTAGGGTTTAGGGTTTGCTGTCTAGGGTTTAGGGTTTAGGGTTTAGGGTTTGTGGTTTACGGTGATGTTTGGGTTTGCTTTGAGGATGGCTGGAGGAAATGGCCAGAAGAGTTTGTGGTTTGCTATACAACAAGTTTGGGGTGTATGTGCAGCTAATAAATTAATAATATCTTGAGGAATATGTTTATTTAATTCTTCTCTTTGCTCTGTTAGAGCCAACAACAGTAAATATGATAATAAAGATAGAAGAGAAACAGTATGCTGTCGGGGCACAGTAAACCATAGCTTGCAACATAAATCCCCACCAAACAAACCCAACAAATACTCTTCAGATAAGCATGGGGGCCCCCAACCAAACAAAGACCCGGGGGGCCCCGCATAAACCCCACCATCTTCACAAACCCTGTTATCGCCAGGCGACCACGGGGGGCCCCCAGAGGCTCCACCAACAGAGGGGTGCCCCCTATGGGCTCCTCCCGCTCGGGGGGTGATCCTAGGGGCCCCACCAGCGTGGGGGCCCCCCCGAGGGGCCCCAGGAGGTATGGGGGGGACCTGGGGAGCCCCTCCCCCCGGGGCCCCCTGGCGCCTACCAAGGGAGCCGGCCTGAGAGCCAGTAGGAGGCCCGCTGGGAAGCCCACAGGGGGTCCCCACAGAAGGCCCGAGCACGGGCGGGGGGCCCCGGGGGCCCCCTGGGGGCCCCCCTCTGTGTGGAGGGTCGGAGTTGGGAGCGGAGAGGGGCCCTCCCGCGTCTCTTGATGCCGCAGAGGATTGTGGGAGCTCCCCTACTGCAGAAGCAGCAGCAGCAGCAGCTGCTGCTGCTGCCTGAGTGGGGTGTTCGGGGGTGGGCATCACCGCAGACAGGGGGCCCCCGTGCTGCAGTAGAGGGGCCCCGAAGAGAGGCCGCAGCAGAGCAGTGTAAGGGGGGGCCCCTGGTTTGTTTTATAGTGAGGAACTAAACATTAATACAAATGAAGGTATAATAAAAACAAAAAGGCTGCAAGCCAGAGCGCAGCGACTGCAGCAACTGCAGCAGCAGGAGGAGCAACGCGAGCAGCAGCAGCAGCAACTGTTGCTGCTGCTGCTGCAGCGGGGCCACTGGTCAGCTGTGTGCTCTGGCTGCTGCCGCAGACAAAGGAAATGTTTTATTGCAGTTTATTTTCTTATTATTATATAAATAAACTCAACTCAAACCTAATAAGAGTGCGGGACCCCTGTGCTGCCTCTGCTGCTGCTGCTGTGGCGGCGGCGGGTACTGCTGCTGCCTCGATGAGGACCCAGCAACAGGCACAGCCAGAGACGCAGTCTGCATGCGGCTCTAGCTGCTGCTGCTGCTGCTGCTGCTGTATGGATGCTTGCTGCACATGTTTCTGGTGCTGCTGCTGTTGCGGTGTTGCTGTACATAGAGAGACTGCCTGTGTGTGTCTGTCTCTCGCTGTGTATCGCCTTCTGTCTCCTTTCGTTTGTCTGTGCGTGCGTGCCTCTGTCTTTGTCTCTTTGCTTGTCTGTCTCTTTTTTCCCGTCTCCTCCCGTCTGTCTCCTTCTGTTCGTTTCTCTATGCCTGCCTCTGTTTGTCTCTGTGCGCCTGTCTCTGCCTGTGTGTGCCTGTCTGTTGCTGCGTGTCTGTCTCCTCTTGGCCGTGTGCTTCTCTATATCTCTGTCTGTATCCATCTCTTTCTGTCTGTCTCTCTCTGTGTATCTCTATCCCCGTCTGTTTCTATCTGTCTCTCTGTCTCTGTGTCTCTGTCTCTCTGCCTTGGACTTCTTGGCTGTATGTTTGCCTTCGTATCTCTTTCTCTGTCTTTCTGTTTCTTTGTGTTTGTTTTTACTCGTCTGTCTTCTCCTGTCTGTCTCTGTCTGTCCATATTTGTCTGTCTGTGTCTGCCTGTCTCCGTTTGTCTGTCCGTCTATGTCTGTCTCCTTTGCTTCCTCTTTGTTTGTCTTTGTCTCTCCATCTCCTCCCCTGTCTCCACTGTAGGCTTTCTTTGTGGGGTTGTCCCCTCGGGTGTCTCCTCTGTCTCCTTTGTCCTTTGTCTCTCGGTATCTCGTATCTTTTCTGACTCATTCTCTCTATCTCTCTCTTTATATTGTCTGTCTCCTTTGCCGTATGTCTCTGTATCTCTCCACTAACAGTATGTGTCTCCTTCTTTCTCTTCTCTGTCTTCTCTATATTTCTCTTCTGTCTCCTGTCTGTCTCTTTCTTCTTGTCTGACGTCTTCATCAGTGTATAGAAGCTTCTGCCTGTCTTTGTTTTGTCTTTTGTTTGTTTGGCGTTCAATCGGTATCGTCTCCTCTAGTTCCTAGTCTGTCTTGTACCTCTACCTGTCTCCTATATATATCTCTGCCTGTCTCTCTGTCTCTGTGTGTGTCTGTCAGTCTCTGTCTGTGTCTCTCTGTCTCTGTCCGTGTGTCTCCGTGTGTCTTTCTGTCTCCCTGTCTCCTCATTGTGTATCTCTGTCTCCTTTTCCAGCTGTCTGACTCCTTGCTATCTAATGCCAACAATACAAAATTCGTCACCCCACAAAATACTGTCTCGACGCCAGCTGCTGCTGCTGCTGCAGCGGCAGTGCTGCTACTGCTGCAGCGGCAGTGCTGCTGCTGCTGCAGCAACAGGGCTGTTGCGCCATCTGTGCCGAGAATGCTGCGGCTGCGGCTAAGAACATCCTGCTGCTGCTGCTGCTGCTGGTCTGTCAGCAGCAGCACAGCAAGGGGCAATGTGTCTGTACACCGCAACGACACGTGTCTCTGTCTGTTGCGTTTATATTTCGTGCATTGGCGTTGTATTTCTTTTTATTACCTTTTTTCTTGATTCTGACCTATAGATAAGTCTCTTTATCCTACTTGCATGTGCTGCTGTTGCTGCAGCAGGCAGCTCCAGCATCCCGCGGCGATGCAACGAAGCCAAACGGTCTGCTGCTGCTGCTGCTGCACCTTGCACCTGCAGCAGCAGCAGCAACAACAGCAGCAGCAGCAACAAAGGCACTGCTCGTTAAGCACAGAGAAGAAACAAGCATCAACCCATAAGCACACAGCAGCAGAAGCAGCTACATCAGCAGCAGCAGAAACAGCAGCAGCAGCAGCAACAGCAGCAGCAGCAGCAGCAGCTGACTTTAGTGGTTCTGAGACTGCCGGTGACATCGCCAGGCAGTGCCGCCTCCACGGGGCCCCCAACAAATCGTTTCTATGCACACAAACAAAACAAAATAAATAAATAAATAAATAAATAAACAGAACGAAAAAAAAAGAAGTACAAACGAATAATAGAGGGAGACGGAGGAGTGTTGAGGGGGTCTAGGGTTTGTCCGTAGGGTTTAGGGTAAGGGTTTAGGGTTTAGGGTTTAGGGTTTGCTGACTCTCCCTATCTTGAACGCCACAACTCCCTTTCTTGCTGCTGCCTCCTTTGCTTCTTCTCCCGCCTTGCTGAGGGGACACAACGAGGAGACAGCAGGATGTGTATCTAGGGTTTAGGGTTTGTGTCTCAAGGCATTAGGGTTTGTGTTTCTAGGGTTTAGGGTTTGGGGCTGCTGCGTCTGTTGTCGGGTGAACAGATAACAGGAGGTCTAACAGCAGCGGGTTTAGGCGTCAGGGTTTAGGGTTTAGGGTTTAGGGTTTAGGGTTTACGCTGTTGTCTCCCTTTTGTGTATACTATAGAGGAAGGGGACACAAAAAGGAGACAGTAGCTTGGATGACCTCACCGTTTTTCGTTTGCTGCTGCTTGTTGCTGCTGCTGCTCCTGCAGCTCCTCCAGCAGCTGCGGCAGCTTATCTATAGCTTTCCTTATCTCCTTCTGCTGCTGCTTTGCTGCAGCCTGAGCAGCAGCAGCGCACGCAGCAACGATGCATAACTCGAACCAGCGCCTTAGGGACTTTACCTAGGGTTTAGGGTTTGGGGTTTAGCAGCTCGGGTTTAGGGTTTAGGGTTTAGGTTTTAGGGTTTAACAACTAGGGTTTAGGGTTTAGAGATACCCGGCGCAGCTGCTGCTGGTGTCTCCGCTGGCGGTTTCTGTCTGTGCGCGTCTTCTTCTTCGGCACTGAAGGCACCAAACCCTAAACCCTAAACCCTAAACCCTAATTCGCAACCCCCAAAACCCTCAATCGCCCGCATCCTAATCCCTCGCAGCTAAACCCTAAACCCTTAAGACAGCAGTAGCTCACGCTTAGAGAGTTTTGCGGCGGCAGAGTCGTTGTCTCCCGTCTCCTCTTCTGCTGCTGCTGCTGCTGCTGCTGCTGCCCCGTTTTCGATGGAGACCTTTCCAGTCGTAGCCAACTCCAGCAGCATCTGCGCAGCAGCAGCAACAGCAGCAGCAGCAGCAACAGCAGCAGCAGCAGCAACAGCAGCAGCAGCAACGACAGCAGCAACAAGACCAGCTTTCAAATTGTGTAAATATATAACCCCACGATGAAATCAATAGTAAAAAGGAAAAAAAGAAAAAGGGAGACAGACAAAGGAGACAGAAAAGGAAAAAACGCAGGCAACAGAGGAGACAGAAGGAGACAGATAAAGGAGACAGCAGCGGAGACAGAGAAGAGAGAACATGAGGCATATAAAGGACGCAGATGATTAGATGGCTACAGAGACAGCTGAGGAGACAGCAGAAGAGACAGAAGAGAGACAGAGAAGGAGACAGATGAAGAGACAGCTGACTCTTTGTTTGTCTCCTTCTGATAGACCCTTTACGGTCTCTGGATTGAGCTGCTGCAGCAGCGCAGCAGCAACCGGTTGCTTGTGTTTTAGCTGCAGTATTGGGTCTTTCTGCTGCAGCAGAAGTTGCTGCTGCTGCTGCAGCTGCTGCTCCTTGTCTAGTACATGTGCCCGCACAGCTGCATGTGCAGATCGGCCCTGCTGCTGCTGCAGCACTGCAGCAGCAGCAGCAACAAGCTGCTGCTGCTGCTTCTCTGTTGAAGGGTTATATGATGTCCCCTCATCTGGCAGCAGCACAGCAGGCACCAGCTGCCGCAGTGTCTCCAACTTGCAGCGACGCCGTTTGCTGCTGGATCCTGCTGCTGCTGCTGCTGCTGCTGCTGATGTTGCTGCTGCTGCTGCTGCAGGTCCCCGTCTCTTTTCTGAAGACATACGCGCAGGCAAAGCTGGCTATTGAGCGGCCCCAATAGCAGGTGAAGACCCTAAACCCTAAACCCTAAACCCTAAGCACCAAACCCTAAACCCTAGACCCTAAGCCCTCGAGGGAGTGGATGCTGACTGTTGCCTGCTGGTTTGGGGGTTTCGTCTCCCCAGAGGTCGACTGTCTCTGCTTCTGCTGCTTTTGCCTGCGTTCACAACACCACAGAACCCCTAAACCCTAAACCCTAAACCCTCATTTGCTGCTGCAGCACTCAACAAGGAGCAAGGGAGACACAGGGGGAAATCAAAGAAATGAGGGCCTCCGACGGAGATCAGGGTTTAGGGTTTAGGGTTTAGGTTTTGTAGTTACCTTTCTCCTTGCCTCTGTCTCTTCTCTCTGCTTCTTCCCCTTGATGACGCGCAGCAGTTGCTGCTTATGGGCCTGTGTAGCAACCTCCAGCAGCANTCTGCTTCTTCCCCTTGATGACGCGCAGCAGTTGCTGCTTATGGGCCTGTGTAGCAACCTCCAGCAGCACCTTCTTGCTGCTGCTGCTGCTGCTGCTGCTGCTGTCCCCCTCCACTACTAGCTGACGACGCTGCAGCAGGCGCCGTGCGCCCCGAGACATATGCGTCGTGTCATCGCTGCCTGAAGAGCAGCAGCAGCAGCAGCAGCAGCAGCAGCACAAGCAGCAGCAGCAGCAACAGCAGCAGAAGCGCCGGCACCAGCAGCAGCAGAGACAGCAGCAGCAACAGCTCACGCAGCACCACAAGTATAGTTGTATAGGCCGCAATCCCTCCCTTTTGGCTTTCTCCGCTTGCACCCGAGTTGTTAATTGTCTAGGGTTTAGGGTTTAGGGTTTAGGGTTTAGAGTGTATGTACCTTGTGTATCAAGGACAAAGAGTTTATTTTGTTTCTCTAGTTCTTGGGCCCTTTCTATCAAGGGTTTATCATCTAGGAGCTGCTCAGCAGCAGAGTGATGAGTTTTCTTCCACTTGGAACGACGGCTGCAACCCATCCTCCTAAACCCTAAACCCTAAACCCTAAACCCTAAACCCTAATTCTTGGATGATGAGTTTTGAGCGCTTTTTTGTTTATGCAAAAAACTTTTACTTCTTAAAAAAGAAAAAAAATAACCAAAGAGGATCATCCAACCTGCCAAACCCTAGGTAGGCCCTAAACCCTAAACCCTAAAACATAAACCCTAATTTGTTAGGG